CAATCTACTGAGTCAAACCAAGTCTCATACAACGACGATTATTTCGATTTTAAATTACAGAATTGAAGAATATAAATTTAGAAACTATATTACAGTGTAAGAAAAATACAAATTGTCTTGCGTACGCTCGATCAGAATACATAATTAATTATAAAAATGTTAGTTCCTATAAACCGAGATATTTTTCCTTAAACATCTGCTATAAGTACCACTAACAGGGAATTACTTATTTACAATTTGTATATCAACTACTGCAGAAACTATTTATACATCCATAGACACACATACATACAGAAGACAATATAACTACCATCTTCTACAATTAATCACTCCTATTTTTATAAAAGTATCGCGATTGTATATAATTTCTGTTACATTATACATACTATTTAATGTTCAAGAGTACACTGTGAAAACGTCCTGAATTTATTTTCTCATTTACTTTAAGAACTCTCGCTATTTTCTTTTTATCAAGTAATCATAAAAAATGATCCAGTTTAAACAAAATTGTTTTGGTACTATTTAAGTTAAAATATTTTGTAAGAGATTGTATAAAGCGACGATATTTACTGTTGAACATTAAACTTTTTATTTCCTTTTGATATAAAAGATATACTTGCAACATAAATATTATTATTTAACTTAAATTTCACTCAATGATTTATTTAGTGACTTAAACAATTGTCTAATACCTGCAACTGTATGTGACGATGAAAACGACGTAATCTATAACATAGTAAGTAACCGCCATATAAGCAAATCAAACGAAACGTGAACTTTACTAAGAGTAATAAATCCACTGCATACTTTTTCGCTTGTTTTGTTACGTTTGTTTCATTCAGTTTTGTACCGTTGTTCGATCTGACAATATAATTAACAGTCCGCGGGTTGATTACCTATTGACAGACCATCTAAACTAGCTAACAGATCTTTTACGTCGCTTTGAACTTTATTTGGTGTGTTTGATAAAATCAAACGCGAATAAATACTGACGAGCGTCTCAATCTTTCTGTCGGCCTCGATATCTTTCTGTTGTTGCAAACAAGAGACCAACATATCGATTATGCTTTGAACTTCCTCTTTAATCTTTGATGTTTCTGTGTCTGCACAATTTTGTAATAACGACAATTTTCTCTGCGCTAATTTCAACAAACTGTTACCCTCGTGATCCAAACACGTAACATCTGCTCCTGCCTTCAGAAGAAGCATCACCACGGGCATCTTATTTGCTGCAACTGCTAAATGCAATGGAGTGTTGCCCATAACGTCACGAAGATTAGGATCTGCACCATGTTCTAGTAAAAAAGAAACTATTTTTGTGCTGCCTCTGAAATAAAGTTTCGTAGTATAATTAATATAAAATTCTAAATAGTATTCAAATGTTTTACTATTTTTCAATTAGACTAGAAAGCTGCTCGAGAATAAAACTAAGATTTACTTGGAAGCAGCAAGATGAAGAGGAGTTCTTCCACGAAAATCAGTAGTGTCAGTTGGACTAATAAAGTTCACCTGCTTCCCTACAAATTGTCTGTTGTACACAAAGCTCTTCCTATAGTAGGGAACTACAAGGGCAAAAAATATTTTGAAATAAAGCTGTTTTCAATGGACAGGTACTTAAACATTAATATAAATAATTATTTTTTATT